GAGAGAGAGAGAGAGNGAGAGAGAGAGAGAGAGAAAGAGACGCGTGCACGTATAATTGTGACAACAGAGATCTGACTGCGCATGGTACGCCATGAAAGTGAATATAGTGATACACGTACTTATATTACACGTCACTCGATAGACGCGATGATGATTAGGAATGAAGGATCCTCTTCGACTTTGGTGAATGGGAAAAATTTCTTCCGAAAAAAAGAAAGAAAAAATGGTGATGAGGAGGGGAAAAAAGAGGACAATAATGAAACGAAAAGTGAAAGAAAAATTTCGAACCAACCTCGAACAAAAGGACCAGGGGACAATAGGGAAACGATATCTGAGGTATTCGACACGACGCGCTATCCACATGGCTGCTCTACAGACGAGAAAGTTGGTTGGATTGACCGTAGGTCTGCCTGTGAGTGTTAGGTGTATATTAACCCTATTTGCTCGACATTTTTTGGCAATGTGCCCGTGTTCAGTGTGTGTTCCTACGTTTCATCCCTCCCCTTCCCCCTTCTCCTCTCGCCCTCATCGTGTATACGCATATATATATACATCTTCCCAAGAGTCAGTCAACCCCAGACGAATTTTTTTCTCTTTGATCCGTCGTCTCGTTTTCCTCCCTCGTTTTGCTTGCTGTTTTTGTGTCGTTTTAGATGCCTGATTTATTTCAAACGTTTCGAACGTATTTTATATTCCTTGGCCCCCCTCGTCGTCCATTTCGGTATCCTACTCGGAATTGTTTGAAATTTCGGTTGTTGGAAATTCCTCCCTTTCGTTGAAAATTGTTGCGTTCTGTGTTTTTAAGTGGAAGAATAAAACGATGGACAGACGCGAATCGTCGTCGAACCAGTTTCCCACGTAGTATAATTTTCATTTGATTCGATCGATTTTTCAAAGACAAAGTTCTTCTAAAGTATTCATAAAAACATGCGGTGTAGTCACGCTCAATTGATCAAAATATTGAAATATTGAATATTCGATATTCGTGATTATATCTATGAAACGAATTATACAATAATTTGCAAATAACGTTATATATTCATATTTTGTATAATAAATATGTAATAAATACGGGTTTATAAACATTGTGGCCATCGATCAACTGGCTTTAAATTTTAATAAATGAAAGATGATTTAAAACATCATAATTATCATCGATGACGGTAATCGACGATAATCGTTATTTTAATTTCGGTGATCGATTTAACGACTGTTAATCGTGTGAACGTGACTATTCCAATCGATCGATCCCTACGATTTGTATATTTCATTCTAACATCCAATTGTTCAATTTGTCCCAATTTGTTTGTTCTTGCAAATCTGTTGCTCTCTCACTTGACAAACTTTATTTATTATCGATATATGCCCGTGAATTTTATCATGGTAGATCCCTCGTTGTTTTATCGAATTTTTCTGTTGCGAGAACGTAGTAGAGTAGATGATAAATGAATCGTTCAAATCGAACGTGATTCTCCCTCATTGTACATGGAATATCTCGTTGGTCTCGCATTTTTGCGAAAAAAATTAGCTTGAAAAAAATAATAAACAATTCTTTCGAAGAATCGGAAAATTTTCGATGAAAATTGGATGAAAAATTGCGAAACTTTTTTATTTCAGACAATTAAAGAACCAGGTACATACTCCTTTCGAGATCGATGCTCGAAAAATACCCCGGTCTTTTCCCCGATCTTTATGAATATCGGTTCAAATTCGATCCCCTAGAGGTCACCACCGATCGATGGCCGGTATACAGAATTTTCAACCACTCGAAGCGCCACCTCGAAAACCCTGACCGAAATGGATCTTAGAGAACGATTAATCATAGCTGTCGCAGAGGAGTGATAAATTGCGAGAGATTCGCGAAACTCTCCTTCCATTCGTTCATTTTCATTTCGTCCAGACACAATCTGACGAAGGAACACAACGAGCATTGTTTCTGCAATTTTCTGCAAACGATTTAAATCCGTCTAAATTCAAATATCGCGGTTTAACAGGGGCGAAGAAACAAGAACAGATCAGACCTAATAATAATAATCGATCATTGGATATCGATATCGTTTAATTTTTCTTCGTTTCTTATTTTGTCATATTTTGCGATTCTTTTCTTTCTTATGATTTTTACACACGTTTCTTCTGCGCCCTGTATTTTTTTTTTTTTATTTTTCACGAGGTGTTGTCGCGAGAAACAACCATTCAGTCACGAAACTTTGATAACACTCTGTACATTGCACAAATGTAAAACTGAATCACGCATATATATATATACAAGAAAATAAATGTGATTTGAATTTAATTGATCGTGGAATGACAATTTTGTTTGTTCAATTTGATCAATTAATAATCGATTTTTTATTTACCATTATATACGTTTTCTATTTACAAATATTTGAGGATGAGATGGAATCCGACTAAATTGGATCGAGGAAGAGAAAAATCCAGAAATTTATTCGATGAGATGAGGAGATGAACTTGAACACAAGCCTCGACTAGTTCGAATTTTTATTATCCTTCTACCTTTTACTAGATCCCTTTATATTCCTTGTAGCAGGAGGTATCGATATTTGTACACGATTTTTTTATTTTCTCAGCATTATCCACCGGATTTTTACTTTCTTTTTCTTCTTATTATCGAAACACCTTTGAACTTTATTAAAAATGAAGTTGATCCACGATCGATGAGACGAAAAAAAAGGAAAAGACATATAATAAAAAAAAAAAAAAAAATACGATATTCTATTCATCGCAATTCTTCGTCGCAAAGACGATCTCCCGATTGAACTTAAACTCTTCTTGATTTTATACATCATCGCTATTAACTCGCTAAGAAAAATAAAAGGAAAAAAAAAAAGGAAAAAAAAAAGAAAATAAAATAAAAAATCAATCTCTCGAGCCTTTTATTACGAGCTTTGATAAGAAACTGCGGCTTCACGCTTGGCGCGATTGCTGCAACGAAAGCTTTGATACTAACGAATGGCTTCTTGGTTCTTACTTCTCTTTACTTCTCATGTTATCATTAAATTTTAATCTTTTTATCT